AGTTTACTGAATTCTGCTATGATATTCAAAGCCAACTAGTAGAGGGGTGATATTTTCTTCAAAATAAAGCTAGGTTTGTAACAAACTTATTTGGCTATATTAAGAGTGACATTATTTTAGATGGATTTGGCTTAATCGTATGTATTCTTAAAAGATAGACACATCAGAAGCACCACACTGGCTGGGAGGAAAGTAAAAAGACATGCTCAATTTCCTTTGAAAGGGATCATCAAGGAAGTCATGTCCTTAATGTGATTTTTATAAGCTGTATTTTACTCCAGGTTAACAGCCAGTAAGAAAATGGGGCCATTAGTTCTAAAAGCACAAGGAACATAATACCAATACTGTAAGTAACCATAGCCTATGGTCCTCAGTGGAGACCAAAAAGTTAATAAATAATTTTACGTTAAAATGATGAGATTGTGAAGGAAGAACACAAATATATGTCCAGATATAACCTACAAAATCTCTGACATTAAGTCAGTAACAGTTTAGCTTATTATTTATGGTATTTTGTGACAGAGCAACATAAAACTAATAGAGGCATTGAACCAATCCCAGTGTATCAGAAACCATGCCTTGATGTGGTTAGTATGCAAATTTGTCAATCTTAATCACTGAAAATAATTTGGAATTTAGAGATATTTAACATCTTTTTTTTTTTTTTTTTTTTTTTTTTTTGGTACTGGGGATCAAACTCGCGATCTTGTACTTGCCAGGCAGGCGCTTATGCCACTGAACTAAATCCCCAGCCCCCTATTTAGAGATATTTAAACTTTTTTTTAGTTATTTTTCTCATGACAAGCTAATTTCCATCATATATTTAGTTATATAATGGTTATATAATCTATAATCTATAATCTCTCACAGCAATATTTTTCATATAATTTGGTTTTCAACATCAAAATGAATTTGAATTTATAGTGAATGATACTTTTTAAAAATTTAATTTCTTGTTATATATTATGTTTTCTGCATATTTGATATTTGACATATGAATGTATTTATAGGTATCTCCATAGAATAATAACTCATATCAATTTCAAAATTACTTTGTCTCTAACACAGTGACACAGCAGTGACCTGTTTGTATTTCAATGCCATGAAAAGTGAAACAATATAGAAACGGTTTGAACTCTAAAAGAAAGTTCAGGGTGAGCCACAAAACATCTTATAGCATCTAAGTTTCTTTGCTTTTGTTTCCTATAAATGATGATGATTTAAAAACTGTCAGATACTTATATGTGATGAGAAAAAACACCATAAAGTGAGTGAAAAATATTCTATACATATTATTTTTCCCAAAGGAAAACCTCACATTTATCTTAATATATTTTAAAATATTTTTAATTATAATTGGACATGATTCAGCAAAACTGTAGTATTACACTGTACCCCCAAAAATCAGAAAATAACAGAAATATTTATGGTATGGAATGACACATATATATTCCTCTAAATGTATAAGTCCTACAGCTCCTTTTTAAAGTTTTTCTAAATTTCACATCACAAATTTTATGCTTTTATTAAATGACTGCTTTTGGCAAGTTTTATCCATCATATTATTAAACTCTAAAATATATAAAGTATTATGAAAAGCAAATTTCATGATCTAGACCAAGTATTATAAAGTATATATATATATATATATATATATATATATATAATAAGGAATTTTAAATATGTTAATGTGATCTTTTTCTAATAACATACACAAAGAATATAATAACATGCAAGACATAGCTCAGTTTAATAAAAAGACAGTAAAAATATGTATAGAAAACTCATACATAAGCATTGTAGAAGATATAAAGAACTAGCAAAGTTCAATTTTCATTTGTTCAGTGAACGAATGATTTCTCTCAAAGATCATTTTAATATATTAAAAAATTAAAATAATATTTGACCATGTACAACTTAATAAGGGGCTATTTTTCATTATGTTAAACACTAAATTATTTTATTTATAATTATTTTCATATTTAGCTAAAATTCAGTGATATAATTTCAACTTTAACATAACTTCCAATAGTTTCAATTTTCATAATTTAGATAATGTTTTGAGGTGATTGTTGATTGCTGTATAACTATATATAATCAAGACTCTTGTGAAATGAAATGTCTGTGATATACTGTTCTAAGAACAATAACAATTCTCAAAATCATAAAGCCCTTATGTAGATGCATGTTCACTGGCATGTTTCATGAAAAATAGCACTAAAAAAGGAAAAAAGAGAAAGTGTTAACAATGTATAATGTATAAAATGTATAATTAAATTGAAAAGTCTCAGTGCCACTTCCTTCAATTTGTGGATTTAACTTGAAGATTATGATGGTTGACTGATTGTGTCAACTTGAGTAAGTAACTCCAAACTCAGCTGACTCAGAATAGCTCTGGGGATGCCAGACCCACTCCACGAGAACTGTCTCCACAATGGTGCAAAAGGGAAATGAAGAAGGAAGGTTTGCTTCTGTTTTCTTCAGAGGGGCTCCAGTGCTCACTTTCATTTGGACGTGTTCTCCTGACTTCCTGCTCAGACTCCTGAGCCTCCAGCAGTAGCCCTTTGGCCTCCTGATATGGACTTGCATAGAACAGAATAGCAGGACATGACAGTGAGCTCCAGAACTTTGACTGGATCCTTCAGATCTCCAGGGCACAGAGAGAGCTTTAGTATTTCTAACTCTTGACTCTGTGGGCAGTAGTTGTAGTAAATCTTGTAAATTCTTATATATTTGTATATGTTGCATTAAATTCATTTTTTAGTAACCACTGATTGGTACAAACATCATTTGTAAAATCTTACTAAATGTAATTGCTATTTTAATTTCACTTGTAATTTTGATAATGTTTAGATGGACAGATGTGTAGAATTAGAGAGACAAGCAGTGACAAAACTTAAGGCATTTATTTTATGCAGACTATGCTGAACAGAATACAGACAGCCAAATTTTCTTTAATAACCCTCTTGTCTTAGTTAATTTCCTCATTACTTTAACAAAATACCTCACACCTACAAATTAAATGAGGAGAGATTTATGTGGCTCAGTGCTTGTAAAGGTTTTAGCTCCTATTCAAATGGCTTCAAGGCATGGTGCCTTGGTAGAAGGACATTTCAGAGGAGAAACACCTCATGGCATGGCAGGCAGTAACCAGAAAGAAAAGGGAAGAGGGAAGAATGTGTACTCTTCTGGGCTAGGTCTCAGTAATCCATTTCCTCCAACTAGTCTTCACCTCCCAACTTCACATTTAGCTGTAAATATCTATGTTAACTAATCCACTGATGAACACCATGCCTTCATGACCCAATAGCCTCCTGAAAGCCCCATGTGTATGTGCATGAGACCTTCAAGGGACATCTAGATGTGAACAATAATAGCTCTTATATATACGATATGGACACATGGGACAAAGTGATGATTTGTGATCTGGGCAGGATGGCATTGCATTATGGTATGTTCCTAAGAATGAATCAGAATTTAATAATTACAAATTGTTTAGCCATAGGATTTTTTTATTTTATATTTCAGAGAATGGATATGAAAGCTGGACTAGCAAGATCGAAACTACAGATAATTTTTATACTCTAGATCTATGCTTAAATCCTTTCCAACCGTCTGTTCGGATAAAAATAAACTAGGTTCTGTGGTTTCTCATGGAAGCTATTTCCTCCTAGAGCAGGGCCCATATCTCCCTGTTTGGTTTGTTGTAGTTGTAATTGTTCTGGATGTGATGAAAGGAGTCAGAGGAAGTTCTTTCATGAAAACAAGATCCTTTTAATTAAATATCTGATTCAAATTTGTCATTTCAAGGTCACCATTCAAGCAAAAGCTAGTTTTCTCTCACAAGAAGATGGCAGATAGGTTCTGCTGAAATATTTGATTAAGTTGAAATGAAATTCCAGTTCATCATAATATCTAGTCATTTCTCTCATCAAAGGTTTTGGAGGTCTACATTTATCCTAATATTGTCTAAAATTTACAAATCAGAGGCACTGAAAGTACATAGTAATATCTTCCAATGTTAACAGAATTTTAAACAGGGAAAGACTTGAGGTATGTTGTCTGAAGAATTTTATAAGAGCAATTGAGTTGACTATGAATGCACTTGACACCCAAGTATTGCAGGGAGTGGCTACTGAGTACCCTATTTATTTGATTGTCATAACTTTGTAATTTTCTAGAACCATAACCACAGCACCTTCCAGGGACTAGGTTCTACTCACACTTCAACCAACTTATCATCAGTTTTTATACCATTGGGAGCCATAGTTTGCAACATTTTCTTTTACTATTATAGTTCCCACCTGCTTTAAGAAGTGTAAGTCAGATCTTTGATTTGCTTTCAGATTCTGCTTTACTGGGTAATATTGAAAATTATGTTGCCTTGTTTTTCACAAAAATTAAGCAAGCAAAGTGGCAGATGTTCCAGCAAATTCTGCGAACAGTGAAGGAAAAGGAGAAAGGGAAAAGGCAAATATTGGGGTTGTGTTTTCAATTGGCCATTTCATGGCAAAAATTAAATTAATTATTTCTGGATCATCATATAAGAAGTATAAATAGTTACTGCTTTAAAATATATTCAGAGGGGGAATAAAAATTTTTTCTTTGCTTTGTCTTTTTTTCCCTTTATGTAGAGATTTGCCTCCTGGTGGCTTTCATACTTCTGTCCTGCTCAAGTGATTCCCATGATATTTAGCGCTTCAGTTTTACAATAAGCACATTCCAGGGAAGAAGAGTGGGAGCTTGCATAGTGTGAGCAGTGGAAGCTTGTGTGCTCAGGCAGGGCCTGCAGGCTGAAGAAGACAATGAAATATATCTTTGCCACCATGGTCACAGAGGCTGGAACCAATGCCTGGAGGCATCACAGAAAGAAGAATCTAAGGGGATTAAGAGCTTAATAAGATAAGATGTGTCACACACTGTCCTCAAACTGCCTCCAGTTATTCATGTTCCTTTACAATGGCTTCTAATACTTTTATTTTAATAAAATTTTTGTACTCATACTTTTACTTGACAGAGGAGGTACCGTGATCAAGAAAGTGGTTTCCCCGGGGCGAAGCTTATCCATTGCACTGCAGATATGCTGATCCCTGAGATTTCCTCAAATGTGGGAAACTGCGTTGCATAATTTATGGCAGTGGGGGACAGCATTTGCATTTTTCCCTGTAAGAAAAATTTGGACTCAAATACATATTTATGAATATATGGATGATATTATATCTTGTATAGTTTTATATATATATATATATATATGTAAGTTGAGATATTTTTCAACATTATTATAGATAAATTTTACAGAAAATATTGAAGAAAATGAATACTGGCCTAGACAATTCTATTTAACAGTAGAATATATATTGCCTTCTACCATGACCATTGTTTTCCACTGACTTGTCCACAGCTCTTGGTGTTAAGCATAAGTACGCTATTTGCTCCTTGGCCTTTGAAATTCTGCTATTAGTATTTGTTGCTCTTTTGTTTCACTTTACTTCTCTTGTTTATATAATAGTGACACACTCTTTGTCTCTTCTTGTATTGAAAATATCTGAAGTAGAATAGATCTCAAATTTCCTGAATTATTCTCATACCCCTGATGTTAATATTACTGAGATCATTGAAAAGGTCATACACTGCAAAGGTCATCCTGGCAAGAAATAGCATCAGGTTAAATCGATAAAATGGATATATCATTTAAAATAGGAAAGTAGGTAAATCTAAATAGGAAATTGTGGACAGACTCTCTGGTTAGAGGCTGCATCCTATCTGGACAGATTTCCCAATTCCTGAACTGTTTATTATTCTGAAACCAAGGCCTCTATTGTCCCTTGTGCCTATATGTAAACAATAAACTCACTCACTTCTTGAGACTTCTCATGGTGGGATGCCCTCTTACTCATCTTTAACAAATAGCAAGATTCATTGATACAGTCAGTGAAGCTGATTTGTGAATGTGAAGCTGATTTGCATGAATATTTTTCTTTGTTTAGAATCAAGAATCTAGCTATAAGCTCTAAGAAAATACACAAGCATTTTTACTTAGTTATCTGTAACAGTGTTTTTATAATCATGTATTAAATCTTAAGCCACATATTCTTTTTAATTTTATTAGCTCTTCTGGCTATAAAACAACACCATTTGTTAATTATTAAATTATTGATTCAAAAAGATGACTATATTCCCAGAAATATGTAAAATAAAGAAAGAAAATGTCCCCCAAGAGCCATATACTTTCTATAATGAGGCACAAATAAAATATATTCAGAAAATAAAATAAATTTGAATGTGTCCCCCCAACCAAGGGAATGTTAGCTGCTCACCATACATTTGGTGGATTCTGAATGCTGGGGAGATGCAGCAGTCAGCTGTGGGCAAATGCATCTATGAATAAAATCTTCAAATGTCACTAGAGACAGGATTTTTAAAAGAATATTAAGATTTTAAATTGGAAATCTACATTTTTTTCTTAATATGTTATTAAAATAGAAACTATATGCAAATATTAGTAATCTGCTTTAAAGAACATCACAGAGTAAATCTGTATTTCACACATGTCTGTTCATCCTCACTTATTCTAGAAACTTCACTGCATGGAGATGAGGTGGATAATAAATAATTTGCATATGTACTTTATAAGACTCCTGTTCTCTAAAAATTATTTAGTAAAAAAACATAAATTCATTATTTCCAAAACTAAAGATAATGCTAATGTTTATCATAAATTATTTCAATATAAATGTTATACTTGCAGACATAAGATAGCTTCTGAAATGTCTAGCCATTGTTCTTAAATTTTAAACGTCTAACAACCTGAACACTTAATTCTATATGAGCCAACAAATCTCTCTTATCTTAATATCATGCTTTATGCAATTATTCTGTATCCTTATATGAATTCTGTTACATGTATAACTGGTTCATTTAAGCCTCTTGGGAACATTATGCACACCTTTAAATAATAATTATTTAGAGAAATAGCACAAGTTCATAAAATAGTTCCAACAATTCCCTTGAATTGCTTTCATGTAGAAACTCACCTAGGATTTTCAACAAAATTGTAAAATTTGACCAGTTTGGGGTTTGCTTTTGTTTTGTGTTGTGTTTCATTAATGACTCACAAAATGAATTGACCAAATGTAACAGTCTGTGATTACCAGGGGAACAGATTTTGAAAGATATACAAATATATATTCATTTACAAGACTGGCTCACAATGGCCACCCACAGAGTCAGGTGTGAAAGAATGCAAAAATTCTGTCTGTGTTCAGAAGAGCTGAGGGATCCAGTCAAAGACCTAGAGTTCACTTTAGTGTCCTGTGAAAATCTGTACCAGGAGGCCAGAGGATCTGCACTGGAAGGCTAATATCTGTGCTAGAGTCTGCAGAGTTTGTGATAGACACTGACAGGTATGTGCAGGAAGGCTGAGGACGATGCCCGAGATGAAGGCAAAGACTGTAGCTCTATCAAAGACAAAGAAGCAATCCTTCCTTCCTACTTCTCCTTTGCAACACGGAGGTGACAACCTGCCCCCTAGAGTTGGTCTTCTGTCTTTACTATATCTCCTCAGCAACACTCAGAACTATGCTGACCCAATTTAGCTGCTGAGTCTTGTTCAAATTGACACAATCACTTAACTATCACATAAAATTTCTGGTTTATGATGGGAAATTAAGATGCCTACAACTATATATGCAACATCCTTATAGATATAATTGCATTCTGAACTCTGAATTTACTCAGATATATACAGTACTCCTGGGAAATTCACTTTAATTAGAGACTTTTAAAATTTCACAGAGTAAATTTTTATTCAAAAAATAAGAAATTAAAGCAGATCCTATATTGTGAAAGCCAAGAACACTTGTGAGAGAATTTATATTTTGCCTGGATTTGACTTGGTCATTTGTTACTGATCTCTACAACCTGACTCATCCAGATAGGTGATGACTATTGATGAAGCATTTGACCAGATTCTCAGGTATCATTTCATTTTTAAAAAGTGATAAGCTTTCTTTTTGTGACACTGCCCATGCACCCAACAACCGCTGCTGAGATGTTTGCATATTGGAGGCAACAAACATAGGCTGAGAGAAGCAGCTAGATGTGTAAAACTTTCAGACCTTGGAGACAGGATTGTAGCTAATAATCATGAAAGGAAAGATCTCCTAAAAATAGCAAGGAAACAGGACTAACAATTTGAAAGCTTCAAGATGACACAAAGAAAAGTAATTTAAGACTGATAAGTCTTAAATTATCAAGAAACAGGAGTCAAGAAACAGGAGTCAACACAAATGGCTTAAAAGTAAAATTTGTAAAAGTAATAGAGTAATTACCAAGCCAAAAAAGGACCTGGTATATAGATATGAGAGGCATATAGAATTCCAACTAGCTATAGTCAAAATAAATCTGCAACCCCTCCCCATTTTTTTTAAAAATAGGATCTGGGGAAATAGCTCAGCAGCATAATTGCTTGCCTGGCAAGCACAAGGTTCTGAGTTTTATCCCTGGTACCAAAATAAATAAATAGATAAATAAATAAATATTTTTAAAACTCTGCACCCAGACATATGATAATCAAGATCCCAGAAATTCTCCAGAATAATAGAATAATAGATTATTAAAAGCAATTAGAAAAAAACCCAGATAATCTATAAAGAAAACTCATCAGAACCACGGCAGGCTATTAACACAAATAATCAAGTCAAGAAGAGCTCAGAATGAAATATTTCATGTTGTGAAAGGAAACTACTTCCAATTCAGATTTATGTACCTTGAAAAACTATCTTTCAAAATTGATAGAAAATTAACGTACTTCCATGACGAAGAACAACTGAAGGAATTCATGACCACCAGCCAACGAAGAATACCACAGTATTCTGAACAAGAAATATATTTAATTCAAAAGGAAATGCATAGACTGAAAATCAAAAAAGAGAAAACAAAGCTCTATGTGACAGAACCAGAAAAAAATAGAAGTAGCTTACAGAATGCATAAGGAAGATATGGCATTTTTATATCATGGAAAGCTCCTCAGTTATAAAGAATGATAATCACAAGGCTATTGTAAGTAAATTGGTGCAACTTGAGATCATGTACATGGGTAAAATGATTTGGACTCACATGTGTGAACACTGTGTAGTTTCCCTAACATTAAAAAAAAAAAAAACTGAAGGAGTTAATGGAATCCAAAATGTACAATTGATATTGTGAAACTGAAAAAGGAGGAAATGCTTAAAAAGAATTGGTAGCCATTTTTGATTTCCTATTATCTTGTTTTGAAGTCCCATATTGCTTTCATTGTTTTGTTTTAATTCCATGTTGTTTTATTCCATGTTGTTTGGTTTTATTCTGTTTAAATTTTTTTAAAAAAGTTATATTCTTTTATAAAGAATGAAGAAGAGGGTTTAAGATTTACTAGTATTGACATTTATTTCTATACAATTCTTTAACATTAGAATGCATAAATTTCAAATATGTGCATGTAAAATGTTGCTGTTGTGTCTGAAATAAAAAATAAAATTTGTGATTCATTTCTTCTATTTTAGTAAGTTTGATAATATCATTCGAAAAAAATACTTAGTAAATGATTCAAGAAATAAATAGTTTTTTTTTTTTTTCATTTTGGCTGAAATTTTGTTCAGGCTTACAGAATAAATGCTTTAAAATTAAATGCAGAAGAAGGTAAATAATTTTTATTATGCATTTTAAAACAATCTTAGAATCTTAGCTTTTTCTTTGTAGTAAAATTATTATGTTTCTTGTTTTATAGCACTCCCTCATAGAAATGATATTAAAGGTGAGTGAATGAATGGAAATATACAAAATAAGGAATTGTTTTTCTTTTCTTTTTTTTTTTTTATATTTGTGTGGTTTTTTCTACTTTTTTTTTTTTTTTTTTTTTTTTTTTTTTCAGCTCTAGGGTCAGAATCCTGAGTCTTTTGTACAACAGGCAAGTCCTCTGTGAGTTATATCTGTAAACCTAATAATTTTTTATCCTACAGTTTATGTCATAAAAATAAAGTTTTTATGGTCTTAGTTCACTGAAAGATTCTGTTAAGCATAACATTTGTTAAGTATCCTCTGCACAGCTACAGTGGCATTTTCCAAATACGGGCTCTCACCCCACATGTACCATGAGGTTTTGGTACAGAGGAGTCTGTAGGAAAACA